CAAGCCTTTACAAGCAATTGAAGACTAAATAATCACATTTTATTTAAGGCAAATCATTTTCAAAATTCCATAAATTGTGTAATTATGAATCAAATTGGCTACTTGCGATAGAATCTCGTCGTTTCCGGTGTTAAAGTCTGACCGAAGGCTCACAGCTTACGCATTGGCCTTAGCAAGCACCTTCCTGACAACCGCAATGCCAAGAAGTAACGGCAGATGAAGAAGAAAAAGGAGGCTCATTTCAATCCACACTACGACACCCCAAGCGTAGACTCTTGCTAGAAGACCTTCTCTACCGCAAACAGTGTCAATAAGGTTTAGAAAGTGGACTGGAAGCCCATTACATGGAAAGAGTCGCTCCACAAGAGACCGCATAAGGGGAGTGCAAAGGTGACAGAGATGCCATGTAGTATTTGTGTAGACATCCGAGAGCAGATTGTCCAAAACAGACGAGTTTCGCAGATCCTGTAAGAAACGTAACGAAATTGGTACAGTGCTACAACGGAACACATCTTCTACCATTTGTGTACGGACTAACAGTCGCTATGTTGATTATATTCAGGAGAAATCGTTTTGCCAGTTGGCTGCTAATTATATAGGTATTGGTCGTTGAGTCAATTTCTTCCAATGTTCTCTGCATCTCCGGCACTCTGTGACAGAGTTCAGTGAAGATATCACCAGGTCCCTCAAGGCTCGGGACTAATGACCGTAATGCCTGTAGCTTTTCTAAAACTTCTTTAGTTCGTTCAAAATCAAGTTTTCGCAGAGTGATTTCCCTGATGACTCTCTAAAACGATTTGATGGATAAAATGCTTCTTTTAGGTGATAGAATCTTATCTTTATTAGTAAGATTGATTATAGGGCAAACCTCAGTAAATTACATGAGGTTGCGTGAATTTACTTAAATTTCACTGACCTAATGCAAGTTGGTGAATGAAACACTTTCTAGATTACAGATTAATAGCATTGCGAATTGAAGTATTTAAGTTTTCTGGGTCAAGGATTCGTATCGTTTTTGGAAAACTAAAACAACACATAGTTACATTCGCACATAAATAATGCAAACAGTAATTAAGAATTAGCAGGTTTAATGAATAAATATAAAACAAATGCATGATATGATTGTCTATTGGCCAATTTGCGCCTTCTTCCTATCCCCACATTCACAAGTTAGTAGCTATTAATAAATAAACGAATCATAATCGTGAGCAGAAGTTAGGCTCGGACAGGCCAGCTATTAATAATCCAGTTATTATTTTGGCAATTCACATAGCACTGTTACGATATTTGACAGCTACGGCAGAAAAGTTTTCTACTAACAGCAAATTAAGTAGACCACCCCTAATAAGTAAGTACGGGGGCGATTACAGGGTATAGTTTAAAGGCGTACTCACTTGGACCTCATCCAAGGTCATAATAAGACGCGATAAACTCGAATTTACATAAGAACCGGCATCTGCACTAACTAATCCATTTTGTTCTGCTTGAAGAATCTCCATCAGTTCGCTAAGTAGAAGTAAATGCAGTTTAAGCGCGTGACTCATCTGCTTTTGTAAAGCTATACATAATAAAACTGACTCAACTGAAATTTTTCTAAAATTTTTGAGCCTAACATTTAAAGCAATGTGGTCTTAAAATAGAACGAAGCAACTTAGGAAATAATTGTTAAAAATTTGGTAAGTTATGAGGCAGCCATTGGCTGTAAGAGGCGGTTTTGAAAGTGAAGACAATCAGTGGGCAACGGCAAATCCATTAAGGCATTCATGTGAATGATGGTGGTAGGAAATGCGATCTTAAAACTTCACCTCACATACTATCTTCCATCCTGAATTACGCCTTGAACATTTTCACTGTGAAGCAAAGTTAGCAGATCAGGAAAGCTATGCCAGCCGATCAAAACAAAGAGGCTGGCACCGCTCTCTCGACACTCGTGGATCGCGGCAGATAGGAGATGTCTTGGAGGAGGCAGTCCAAATATCGCCTCTCCACTGATTTGTTCCCAAATGCTTTGCATGTAGCCGCTGAGAACAGCATCAAATATGGCGAGGTGTTTATCCTCTTTGAGGTAAACGCAACCCTCAGTGTAGAAAAGGGAGCTCCCAAAGGTTGTACATACAATCAGAACTGTCAGTAGCACAGCAATGACAACAAGGAAAGAACAAAGAATAAATATGCTCGAACGGCAAGCAGATATATCTTTCCTAAATTTTCCTAGAATAAGGAAAACGTAAGGGAGCCAGAGACTTCCTTACTCGGCTTTTGTAGGCATCGCTCCTTTACAATGATTTGTACAAAGCCAATTACGAAAACACCCATTAGTAGAAGTAGACAAACGAGAACTCCACCAACTGAGCTTATTGCCGCAGTCACACTGGTTCTAGTGGTTTTATTCAGGGAAGAAACAACTTCTTGTTCGAGGCCTTGAATGGTCCTTATCAAGGAATTTACTTGCAGTTCTACTTGTCTCCATACAACTTCCACATTTGGAGACAGGTCGATGGTGAGAGATGATGAAGGGTTGGATAGCTGGACTTTCATATGCGCCAAAGATTGATTCAAGTTGGGAACCAGCAAAAACCACGGATCGAGTTCGACCTTGAAGTTCTGCAAGGCGGTGACCGATTCGGTCACCAAGCTTTTTTCGGTCGGAATTGAGGTGAGAGAAAGTGTGGAGGCGTTAAGAAGCTCCTACGAAAGTTATTAAGTCACAAAAAATGGCAGAAAAACCTAAAAATTGCTGAAAGATGGTGAGACTTTACGTACAATCGCTGTTTTACACTGTTCTATGGGGTTGCATTCCTTCTTCAAAGTTCGTGCAAGGCTTACTTCAGCACTTGCCAAATCTGCTAGGAAATTAGACACTACCGCCACCTTTTTGTTGAGTTCCGTGCTGTCCTTTTGTAAGGCTGCCAAGTAGTGCATCACCTCATTTTGAATAGCTAGCGTTTCTTTTACCTGTAGACGCTGGTATATGGCGTTAATAACGATATCTGGACGGTCTTTTAAGTGGATCTAAAAGAGGAGCACAGTTAAACAATACTTTAGTTGGTATACGTTTGTTGATTTGAATAGATTTAATACCATCGACGGCTTGATTTGCGAGGAAAAAAATCAGAAGTGGTTCAACGCAAACGAAATCCCAAAGCCAGTTTTGTGTTAAATGAACGTTACACACAAGAAATACATCTGACGACTTTGCCTCCTAAAGGATTACGTAGTGTCTGCTCCAAAGCGAGAGGATTGTAAAAATTCGGAAAAGATTATTGCGCTGGTTTTCTCGCTCATTTTATCAAGCATACACTGAATTACCTCCTACAAAACTGCGTCCACCCAATTTGCGTGGCCATCATTGGCTCTGATTAACAACAAATTATCAATTCTCAATAGCCCATTTATCTGGACCACCTAAAAGGAAGCACGACACGTGGTCTATGGCATGTCTATTTATTTACGCCTTTCAAGAATCCTCAATTAGCGGCACAATTCTAGTGAAGAGCATCTGAGAAAATGGGGCCGTAAAGGCAAAAACATGAATGCATCAATGATTGCGTTGACATGTAAAATAAAAGTAATGATGCAACAAAGTAGCCAAGCAACATTTCATGCTTGATTTGGCAAAAACTTACACTTAGAGAGTCCTCCAACTCCTTAAACGCTTTAAACATCGTCTTCTTTCCGATCAAAAGCCCAGATGAGAGAAATGTTTGCAGGCCCATGGAGAGAGCCTGTACAGCCTTAATTAAGCCCAAGTCATTTTCGTTTCGACTGTCGACAACGTTAATTATTTCATCTGACTCTTTGAAAAAGAAAGCTATAAATGTGATAGCAATGAGTTCCGAGATGACGCAAGAGACCAACAAGACCATTTCCACATGCTTTAAACAACTTCCTCTTGGACTTTTCTGCGTAAATCTCTGCAAAGAAAAAGGTATAGATTCCATGGTTTATGTTGCGATTTGTGGTGAGTTGGCGTCGGCTTAAGAAGTCCTATGAAAGTCACTCATCGCCACTTTTTGTGGGCGCCAGGTAAAATAAAATATTGGCTCAACTTACTTGGCATTTGAAAACAATCCCTCAATTTTAGGCCTAATAAAATTGAGATATAAGCGTTTCGTAGCGAATCTGCGAAATCGCGATTCCTTTAAGAGCTTCGAATAAACCAACTTGAGCGTCACTATGACAACGGTCCAAAATGCTTGCATTTAACCTACTGTTTTTCATTTCAAGCAATAGCTTCGGCCGTGAAAGATTTAATTAGTTTCTGTGAACACTTTAGGAGAATGTAATGATATAAAAGAAGAAAAATGAGACGATGTCATTTACACCCCAAGGAAATGCTCTCAACACCGGATCCAGGAGAATTGCATAAAAGATTAGCCATTGGCGCATGCATTCACACATTGTAAGGATTTTAAGATATGCCAGCGCATAAAACGACCAAAAGAAATACATTCGCTTTCACTACGTTACTATCCTGCCTTTAGAATGTTAAAGGCAAAATTCATTAATGACATTCGGTAACGAATTTGATAAATGCAACACCCGCGCTAGGAAGAGTCATCCGACTCCATGTAAGTTCCGACGTAGTGTTCCGAGCAGTGGTGGTTGAGATCACGGGAAAGTGGTTCCCTGCCGTACCATCTGGTTCATGACTTTAAGTGAAATCACACGAAAGACGATTTTCCTCAGTGGAGACTCGAAACGCGTTGACTCGTAAAAGAACGACTTCTTGAAAACTCACTTTGCAGTGGGTAAATGGTAGAACGAATGAATGAGGGAAGACCCCACCAGAAACCCCAAACATAGTTACGATTTCCAGTTAATCACGCGTCAATGGCAAACCAAATCTTCTTGGCTTTGAGAGTAAAGGCGTACTGATCCCTCGGTGCAGCATTACTACATGTGCTTTGCATTGCTCTCGTTCTCTGTGGAGCTCTAATGCCGTAAAATATCGGTCGA